GCCACAACACCTGGCTATTTTTTGGTTGCAGCCAACATTGTTGTTTGGCGGGCCCAGGCTGGATTCGAACCCAACAGCTCAGGTGTATGTGGCTGGCGCCTTAGCTGCTTGAGCCACAGGCACCAAGCCTATGAATTCTATTTCAAGATGTTAAAAAAGGAAGTCTATTAATAAATGCGTTAACATGTTTTTGCTTTTAGTTCTTTTTACAACTTCAACAGGCAGCATTGGAGGTCTTCGCAGATGATAATACTCTAAGTAAACTGCAGCTGGGACAACTGGCCTCCATGGAGAGCTCTGTCTTTGATGACATGATTAACCTCTTAGAGCGTTTAAAGCATGACATGTTGATCCGACAAGTAGACCATGTCTTTAGAGAAGTTAAAGATGCAGCAAAATTGTATAAAAAAGAAAGGTATATCTTCTTTTCCAGTCAGTTCTTACACCAGTTTGGTAGAAGTTAAATATGGTACATGTGGTCAGATTTCTAAGATGTTTAGATAGAATAGGGTTTGGCCTTTTGTACTCCAAACTCTGTGTTTAACAGAACTCTTTCTAAAATATGCTTTTTTTGACATTCTTAATGATAATAAACTGATCATAATTTAGTCATCAACTATTTATAAATATGGAAAGCTGGTATACATATGATCTGGGGTGGAATAGCCAAGCCTGTCACCCATTTTATAAAGTAAGGTGCTCCTGTAATACCCTGTGCTTGTGTTGTACAATTTATTTCACTACTGTAATTCCCTGTGGACAGTGTTACCTCCACCAGAATGTGAGCTCCTTGAGAGCAGACAGTGTCTATTTGCCCTAGCATAGTCCATGCCACACAAGGTTCAGTTTTGGAAGTATTATTAGTCCCCATTGTTTTTTCCTGAATATTAGACCATAAAATTAATTGATTCCTTAAATATTGACACATTTTAAATTTTAATGGGTTTGTTGTTTTTTTTCTTTCTTTTTTGAGACAGAGTCTCACTCTGTTGCCCAAGCTAGAGCCATGTGACACTAGCCTAGCTCACACTAATGTCAAACTCTTGACAATCCTTCTGCCTCAGCCTCCTTAAGTAGCTGGGACTATAGGCACCACCATGATGCCTGGTTAATTTCTTCTGTTTTTAGTAGAGACAGGTCTTGCTCTTGTTCTTTCTCAGCCTGGTCTCGAACTCCTGAACTCAAGGGATCCTCCCATTTCAGCCTCCCAGAGTGCTAGGATTACAGGTGTAAGCCGCCTTGCCTGGCCAAAATTTTTACTGTTTTATATTAGTAATTCACATATTAAAATTTTGGGATTTAGGGGGAAATATTTGTCTTTTTCCTTTTTTTTCTTAGAGATAGGGTCTTGCTGTAGCACCCAGTTTGGAATACATTCTGCAATGGCATGGTCATAGCTCACTGCAGCCTTAAACTCCTGGTCTCAAGCAATCCTCCTGCCTCAGCCTCTGCATAGCTACAACTGCAGGCTTGCCGCCATACCCAGCTAATTTTTAAAATTTTTGTAGAGCCATTGTCCAAGCTGGTTTTGAACTCCTGGCTTCAAATAATCTTCTCTCCTCAGCCTCTCAAAGCACTGGGATTACAGGCCTTAGCCACCCTGCCTGGCCTATCATCCTTATATTAAAGAGTATTTAATTGAGAGCTAAAGTATAGAGGCTCGGTGCCCATAGCACAGTGCTTACAGGCCAGCCACGTGCACCAGGGCAGGCAGATTTTGAGCCTACCCGGGGCCTGCTAAACAATGACAATACAACAACAACAACAATAAAATAGCCAGGCATTGTGGTGGGCTCCTGAAGGCCCAGCTACTTGGGAGGCTGAGCAAGAGAGTTGCTCAAGCCCAAGAGTTTGAGGTTGCTGTGAGCTGTGATGCTATGGCACTCTACCAAGGGCAACATAGTGAGACTCTTGTCTCAAAAAATAATAAAATAAAAATAAAGTATAGGCTCGGCGCC